ATTGGCTATTTTTCGCAGAGTTAACAGTTAATAACTAAAATGTGTTAATAAAAATATTAAAAAAAAAAACATTCATTTTTTTACTAGTGGTACACAGCGTTACTAAAAATTTAGAAAGGGAACACTATAGTCATAAGTTTGGGAAACACTGAGTTAAGTGATTAAGTTAAGCGATCCAAATCATTAAAGTGATTTCTTGGAGGCCATAAAAATTGCGAAACACAGAATTGTGCTGTCTACCCTAATTTGCTTCCATATCTTTTTTCCCTTCCCTTTTTGAAAACACTTTAATTGCCTTCACATTTCAAAAAGGTGTTTTTCCTTAGGCCGAAGCAAGTGAAGGCTTGAATAGGAAAAAATTATAGATATAAGTTGTTTTTTAGATGTTTTCCCATTTTAACAAAATTTGTTTAAGGAATGGAAAATCTAGTCTTTCTGAAAAATACATTAGGGGAAGGCATGGTCCATCCATTCTGTCTTGCACGAACATCATTAAATGAATTGATCAAATTTGACTCAGAATGGCAAAAAACTTTTGAAAGGACTTTAAACTTATTAATTTTTAAAATTTATTGTTGATAAAAGCTTTGTAGTTCTTATCATCTATTTAGCTTCATTTCTGTTTGATAAAAAACTGTTAAATATGAATAAATTACGCCTCCTCGACTCAATCTTAGTATGCAATATTTTTTCAGAATTTCTTAATACGAAGTCCTAGTATCATTTTACGTCGAAGTACTTTTCTTTCAGGATCGTTGATGATTTTCAAGGTGCCCCGTGGCTTCAAAACGAGATCCCCTTTTGTTAACGAGACTCAGCACTTGCATTTGACTGAGATGCCGTTTCTTATATTTATTTAAATTATAATGTGATTTTACGGCTTCAGTTTGATTTATTAAACAAAGTTCTAGGAAAACATTTTATACTTAATGCTGAGGAAGAAATAAAGGGTAAAGCAATATGTTCCAAGAAAATAAATTATTATTTTTCAATAGTCATAGGGTCCCAGGGCCCCACCTTCAAGGAAGGATCCACAAGTAGCTGGGGCCGAGGGGATGATCACATTTTCAGGTTTATGCAGTCTTATGACCCTGGATTTATTTATTCTAGATAGCTAGCATTTGGGCTATACACAATGATTGAGACCAGGGCTAAAGAGAATACAAGGGCAAGTTCACTCCGCTCTTAGAGCTGAAGCTACAATTTCCCTCCTCATGACGTCACTGTGTCCACAGATCTCGGAGATCGCAAGCAAAGATATGATAACTTTGCATCTTTCTTTTTGTAAAAATAAGTTAGACTTTTTCTGGTTATTAGCCTTCAAACTTTACGTAATTAACACATTATTTCCGTTCATAAACATAGTTCAAAAAAAACTTTCTTGGTTATTATATTAAAAAAATACCATTTTAAACTTATAAAAATGTTTTGCTAGTTGGTGAAAATGACACGATAAATACTTTATTTTAAAAAGTTCAGTTTTAACTTTAACTATTAAGAAAAATGAAGGCATATATCGACACTTTTTTTATCTACATATTCTTTTATAACGATAAGTTAAGTTAAATTTAGAATCCCTGATTTTAAAATATGTCGTTAATAGCAATTTGTTCATACTTAATCATTAGGAAACATCAACCTTAAACGCTAATTACTGAAACAAAATAATAATTTAGGTTCATAATGACATTAGAAATTTTACAATTGTTTATAGACATTTAAATTTACGATGATATAATTTATAGATATTTAAATTGAAGAGAATATAATTTTTAAAAAAAATCATAAATATTTAGAATAACTACATTAAAAAATATGTTATGAAATTAGGAGAATTTCAACTATATACTATATATTTTATTTATACTTTTTACTTACATTTTAATTTTCTTTGACTTTATCCATTTTTTAATTCTTTTCACCTGCCTTTCTTTATGAAGTAACGAGGCGGTTTCTATTTAGATAATGAATTTTTATAAAAGTTCTTTACGACAGAATAAACGTATTGCTGTTTTATATTAACTGTGTCATTTCGGAATCCATTCTTTACATAGTTGTTCATTTACTTTAGGGAACACGCGAAAAATTATACTTTTTCCTTTTGTTTTTATATCAGAATTTTTGCAAGTTGCAATCGCGCAAACTGGCATTTCGATAATAGTTTTAAATTCTTGTAAATTCACTGCAAAAACTGAGGAAAGTCATTATAGAAAATAACAAATGTCTTAGAATATCTCGCAAAAAGAAATTATCCAATATTAGTTAGAGCTAGTAAAGCCAAACGCTCCGTTCTTGAAGTAAAAGTGCGAGCTTTGCGCCAAAGTGACGTCACTAGAGTGACGTCGGAGGATCGGAGCGGCAAGAGATACTTCAAAGGAGTGAACCAGCCCTTGATTGAGACAGTAGAAACTTTTCATTCTTAGCCGGGGGACAACTGGACTACCTTCCCCCTACGACTAGGGACATTTTTTGTTTCTGTTTCTGTGGTCAGTATCCACCAGAAGAAGTATACGAACTGTATAAGAACGAAGATATAAATTAGTAAACCATTTCTTTCTTTTTTTCTGCAACAGGATGAATGAAGTGAGTAGCAAACCTTTTGTATGGGAAATTTGTTCCACCTGAAATGGTATTGCACCATCCATTATAGTCTTAGTAATTTTGATACAGTACGGGATTGTCATATGATCTTATTTAAATGCTTTATTTGCCCGGACTAATGAAGCTGTATGAATTACTCAGTTTTTGTAGATGATCAGTCATTAATCTTGCCTAATGAGTCAATGAAGGAGAAGAAGAAGTTTGTCAAAGGTTGGTATATGCAGTTGTGGGGTGTGTTAACATTAAGCAGAAGTCTTCAATTTCTTTTGTTTAAGAGCCACAGTGAGTTCCATAGACCAAAGTTTCGACATTATAATATTTATTTAGGGAGTAATCCCTTAATTACTGATGATTTTCCCTTAAGAAATGTAAGAAAAACTTCAATATTAACGATTTTAAGCATTTTTCAAAGTATTTTCATCCTCTTTGCGCCTCTCCTCTAGTAAGACATTTCAACTCATTCGCCCGTCAGCTGGCAACATACTGTACATTTGAAATACGACAAATATTAAGAACTTAGTAGAGCACTTATCTTATTATAAATCACATCATTAATTGCAATTAAAATGTCCAATTACATTGCCCACATCCTTTATTGTGGTTCTTTTGATAAATTTCAAAGTATAATCAAAATGAACTGCGGTGGTGCAAATATCTGGCAGTTACCCCGGACTAATGACAGCGTAGTTTTTCCTAAGTAAATATCTTACGTATATAGACATTTTGATATTACCACTGTGATTTAATGTAAAATTTAAAAACACCAATTAAACTGAATGATCGGTCTACTTTCCTAGTAGACGTGAAGCTGATATTGATTATTACGTTAATTGGCAACTCGTATTTTACTTTAAATTATACACCACAGCATAGAATAAAAAAATATTGAATTATTTAATGAACGAAATAGACAATAAAGAACGTATTATTGTATATATATTTTTTATATAACTGTCGCTGAACAGCCGGCCCTATCTTGGGTTTACGACTACTAATGTTCAACTCCGTAGCCTCGTAATTTTGGAACAATCCAGAAGACAAGGAAACTCCTGGATCAGTACCCCCAGATGTACTGTTTTGCTATGGGAACATGTAGGACTTTGAGACTCGTCATATTTAGCGTGCATCAGTCACCATTTACTGCACGGGAAGTCTACGGCCGGCGGGGATTGAACCCACGAACTCTTGAACATGGGCCCAGTGCCCTACCAACCAGGCTTTCCCGGCCTGTTATTGTATATTTAAAACATTTTAATCGACTTAAATAGACAGACAATATGTTGTATATTTTTAAAAAAAGAAGATGAGACTGGGTAGTTCCATTGAAAGTTAACTTTGAGTACTCATTTTTTTCGTTTTGTTTCTGGTGGATGCATATATGCTTTGTTTTCTAAATAAATGGCAAGCTTCATTTTGACTTATTGCTTACCAAGTTTCATTTTTTTTTAACATTTTGTTATTTGAAGAAATTTTATTTTTATTGTCATTATTATTTGCATAAGAAAAAAGTAAAATTAAAAGTTTATTCTTTTTAAAAAATCTTCTACTTTTTCTCATGTTTGTAACAATAAAATCACATTAAAATAAAGCTTTTTATCTTTTTCTGAAAGAGCAATCATTTTGGTAATTTAGAAATTAAACAATTTTTTCCTTTTCATTTTTATGTGTTTTTCATAAAAGTAGTAATGATACGCGAACGATGTTAGTGAATTATTGTAACTGAAATCGACAAAAAAACTGCTATAGTTTTTAAATGATTTGTAAAGTTTTTATTTTGTAAAAGTGTCAACAACCAACAACACTGAATATATTTTGAACACAAGTAGGCAGGAGAGCAAAATAAAGAAAAAGGATACTATATACAAATATAGATATGTATGCACGTCTTGTATACATACATGTATTTATATATCTATAAATAATATGCGTAAATACGCAAGAATATCTACAACTTTGTACTTTTACACAATAAATATGTTTTCAGTCTCATAAATTAAGCAACAAAACAAGACGCGGGTTCTATGAAAATAAGCGAGTAAATACACAAATTAAAAACAGCCAAAATGCAGATAGCGTTTTTTTTCGCAAATTTTACTTTTGTGTTTTAAGCCAGCTCTAGCTTTGAAGGAAATAATTTCGCAGCAAGGTTTATAGTTTATGTCATGCAGCACCTTCTCAAAACAATAGGCTTAGGAAAATTCAGTCATCATCATGGTACACAAGTGCAGCCTTTGAAATGGAATTCAATTTTCCTTTATAAAACTTCGTAGGTAAATACGGGCTACGAACTTCCCGTAACTTTTATAACCGAACATGTATTAAGTAAAATTCTACTAAAACGTACTTTGGCTTTTGTTTTTTTCTTCTAAAGTTCCACCGTTTCGCAATCTAATCAACCCGGCATGTATATATATATATATATATATATATGTTTTATTTTAATTGAAACTTATTTTTTAACTGTAACCGTAGCTGCCTTTTTGTTAGTCTTTAAAAACTATGTCTACCCTTGTATCACGATTACAATAAAAAAAGGAAACGCGCCTCCCATTGTCGGTTCATTCAAGAGCTAGAAACTAGTTGGTTATGAGTTTATTCAATTATTTATTTACATCAGGCAGAAATATGTACATATTTATTTTCCTCCATCTTTACAGATGGTTTTTCTAGGATACTGCGAATGACCATCCATCTTTATCAGGATGATCTCTAATCTACAATTCTCTCCCGCAGTGGAGAGGGCTAGAGTGGAAGTTGTTTTGTGAGCACTTGTTTTTCTTTTTTCTTTTGAGGATTGCTAATAACAGGAAAAGGCCTTCAAAAACTATGCTTTGTTTAATTCAAATCGCATCGTTGCGATTCATAAATCGCAATCATTTTTTAACTAAACCATACTAAAACTTTCACTTGCTTACATTTGTTTTTAACTAAAGCACTAAACCTATACGTTGCCTTTGTCAACACGTTGGAACCAACTTTAAATGGGTCCGTTCGCGTGCTCTTATAATAGACAAATCATTTTTCCGCTTATAACGTATTCTAAAGTAACGTACTGAACCCTTATTTCGTGTTGATCCAGTGTTTTTCAAACCTATCGAGACAGTGCAGCGTAAAGTTAAAAATTTCTTGTAATGTAATGCAGCTTTAAAATGAAGTTAAATTCTCATAAAAGTAAAATTTTTGCTTTAAAAAAAAATTTTTTTTTTTTAAACTTATTTTTAAGAGAAAGAAACTAAATCTTTTTAAGGTACAAAATTTGGCAATGGACAACATTTCTTGGATTAAAAGTTTATATTTACTGACAAGGCACAGCAGCATTCCTTAGCACTTCACTTGAAAAACACTGTTACAAACTTTTTACGCGTTTAGTGTTAACCTGGATATCGGTTAAAAAATCGATTTCTTTTAAATATGTAGCCTACAATATGAAAAGGACTACAATCAAGCGCTATCTATAATAAACAAATACTCATGCAAAAGAGAGGAATATTCTTAAATCTATTATTCTTTTCTTATTACCTATGAACCAACTGCTCGTGTTGTACACTATAATAATAAGGATAATAATGATAATAATAATAATATTCCTAACTCAGTCAATTGTTTTCTATGATATGGAGACAAAAGTATTATTAATAAAGTTTCACAGAATGTGGAGAATTTGCATAGTGCTCGAATTGTTCTTTCATTTACTAGCATCAGGTACAACAATACAAAGTCACCGGGGCTGAGAACAAATAAGAGCGATATGGTTGAATAAATGCAGTGATAAAACAAAACTTTTCCACAATTCCAACAATATTCATTCTTTAAAAATATTCCAGCAAAAATTTATTCTCCTACAGATTAAAATCTTCATAAACTTGGTTCGTATATATATTATGACTTATAATATCCTATTCGATTAGTATTTGCAATCTATCTGTGAAAATATCCGTCAAATGAAGTCCACATTTAAAGACTTTGGGAATATAATTAGAGCACCAAATATTTTGTTAAGACTAAAACGCTCGTTTTTTTATTTTTATTTTTTTGAAAAATATGACCTAAATCTCCCATACTTGTTACAAGGCAACTCTGGCACTAACAGTTCCTTCGCTAGCAGTCCGATTGTTTACTTGACATAGTGGTTGTCTGTTCTTTTTTAGGTATCGTCGGTGGGATAACGTATAGGGCAGATCCGTACTCGTCGTATACGAAGTACTGCTTCGTTTCCGGTTCCTTACCGCCTTTGTAGGTGGCCGGAAGCGTTGAGGCTTTGTCATACGAGTCCTCTCTCGGTTTCCAGATTGGAGAACTAGCTTGCACCGTCTGGGGATGGTAGCTCGATGGCGGATTGCTCGATTGAATGAGTTTCGCTGATGAGCTGCCCATACTTGAGTTGGACAATGACGACGTTGCGCTAAGACTGAGCGCTCTGGGGGTTCCCAGATTGCCTGGTTTTAGCTTGCCACTGCCCCCGCTACTGCTTCCGTCATGGGATTTGTCAGATTTGTCGGATCTATCGGATTTATCTGATCGGTCCGACCTCTCTGACTTTTCTGAATCTAGTGTCAGCGGCGAGTGTCCTCGTGAGTCTCCTCGCAAATCCCTGACAGAGTTACTCATATCGTCCATGCCATCTGCCACTGTTCTGCTTCGTGTTCTGAAGTTCGGATCGACGTTATCGTAGGTTTCTGTGTTGTAGTCACGATCGAAGTGACCAGCTGAGTGCCTCTGAGAGTGCCTGGATGACCTCTTCTTTGCGCTTAGAGTCCTTGTCATGCTTTCTCCTTTCTTGGAGGAGTGGGGGGATTTTTCCCTCACCCCGCTTCCTTTCGTGGCAGGAACTGTCATGTTGCGAACACTCTCTCGAATGATTTGTCGAATAGTACGGAGGAAAGAATTCCTAAGCTCGGTCGTGCTGGAAATTGAAGGTGAAATTGAATTAGGTAATTATCACTAGAACATATAGAATATAGAATTGATATACTAAAGTGCATGCTAATTATAAAGAATGCAAATCCCTCACAATCTTAAAAAAAAAAAAAAAAAAATGAAGGAAAATTATAAAAATGTAAAAATAAAATTCTTAATTGATTTTAGCTTATATTTGAGTCAACAAAGCTTATATAAAACAATTTATCAAAGCTTATATATTAAAGCAATTTATTAAAGCTTACATAAAACAACTGATTTTAGCTTATATAAAACAAGTCAAAAGTCTTTTTTTTTCTGAAATGAATTAAATTTTGGAATTTTAAGAACATATATTTTAATTTCGGCTGACATGAATGCATATTACTCTAGAAACTACAAGTTTGGAGGACATAAATGCGCATCACTCTTTAATTACAAGTTACTAAAAAAGAAGAAAAAAATCGCAAATATTAGAAAAAATGGGTCTATAATTTATAGGCTTGATTTTTTTGTAAACCGAAAACTGGCATTTATCTCTATAGAAAGTATATAAAAACACATATGAAAGTCTTGAAGCAATATAACGCGAAACTTTTAAAAGAATAAATCCCACTTTCTTCAAATGTGACAAGTCTGCAACAAAATATCTATTAATAACGTTTCATGATAGATACTCTGTGAGCTTCCAGAACTTTTTGTATTATTTATTGACATGCATCGGACTTATTGGCATAAGTCCTATTGGTATTGTATATGGAAATATTCTACCTAAATATTGTGGTCTTTTTTTTCCGAAAAACACTCCCCGAAAAAGTTTTAAAAATATGGCTTACACTTGTATTGCATTAGGGCTTTCTCATGCAAAAAATATATAAAATACAAAAAAATATTAAAAAAAAAAACAAAGGTTAAGAAGTTGAAACCATATAAAGTATAAGTATTAGTGTAAATTTGGTGCAAAAAATTAACTAAATTTTCAGTTCCTAACAATTTTTTACAAGGTAATGAAATGGAGCTGTTAGGTATATACATATTCATTAGATCAAAAGTTATCCAGGGTGGTCCATTTTTTTTTGCGCATTGTGCATAAAAGTGTATTATAGTGATTAAAATAATTGCATATTTTTTGTAAAAAAATAAATAAAATGCATATGAGTTCTGCCTATACAAACCTGTTTGAAAGTTGGTAAATTTTTTCATTCCGTCGTTGAAGCTGAGATTTGAGATGTATGAGTTCCCACAAAAAGTGTGAATCTCCATCTTTTAGATTGCTTGAACGAACTTGAACTTCAGTAACCGGAATTAGAACTTGATATCTAATTATTTCTACTTCTGAAGTGCTATTTTTATTTGAGCTTCCCTACAATGAAGAAATGAGAATAGAATCATATCATTAAACTAATAAAATAATTTAAACATAAAAATTGAAAGGCTTTTGATAGTTAGATATAATATATCAGTTTGGTATCGTTATATTTAACTATACAGGATGCCGCCCGGCATATATAGTTTTAGAATCCCTGATATCTAGAAACCTTGAATCCAGAATTTGAAAAAGAACGAATCCACTTGCTGACACTCGATTCGTGATTTTCAATTAAAAGTGTTAGTGAAATTTTAAACTTTTTAATAATAGCTTTGCCCTTGCTAATGGTTCTAATTTTTAAAAATCGGAGTATTTTCCTTCGATTCTATCTGGCAAATAAAACAGTTTTGATTTCGATTTTACTTACTGATTGATTCCATTTGGAAAATGATTTGTCCAATTTTATAGCTTTCTTTCTTTCTTTTGCCTTAAGTATGAATTTTAGACTTTAATATATTTTAAATATCCACAACTTTATTTTTGAAAAGTATGTTAAAAATATGCATAGGATCATCGGAAAAAAAAAGCCCAACAAAAATTTATTAAACGTACGGAAATAGTTGTTACGTAGAAATTTAATGTACATTTCTGAAATAAACAACTTCAAAAATAAAATAAAATAAATTTTATGAGTAACTGAACTCTCGTAGATGCTTCATAAGGCAAAAAGGGGAATTTGATTGCTGTTTTATTATCTGCCGAACCACTGATGTTACACATGCGTATACAACCTTGTATTTTTCTTATTATATTGGTACCAGAGTTCATTTGTGCTCAGTAGTTCCGTTGTGTTTGTTAATTTGCAAAACAGTCTTATAATTCCAGCACTTTTTCTTCGAGGATCCAGAATTAAGTGCGATGACTTTCCGTACAAGTGAACCAGAAGGAGAGATTAAGTGCCATAAACAGAAGCGCTGGCAATATCGCAGTGAAGGGAACTATTTTTTATTAAATTTTTACCAGTCAATGTTTATTTTTTGAGATCAAACTTAGTTTATAAAAGCTTCTCATCTAAGCCAAGAGCTCAAGCCCTTTGACAGATCTTTCTTTTCCAATAGTGGCAAAAAGGATTTAATATAGTTGTACCTCGTCATATTTTTAAACCTGTATATGGAACTGTAGATTTCGGCTAAATAACTAATTTTTAAGAATCATATTTCATGTAAGCTAAATTTTCATTTTTTAAAAATAATATCTTCCTAAATCTTGTTTAAGATTTTTGTTCGAAATCACCAATGTTTCTTGTTAGTTCAAGGACTTACTTTTAATCCTCTTTCATACGAATAGGACGCTGCAATGCGTCAAAGTAATATCGAAACGTTTTTAGAAATGTCTTATGGAAGCCCTGTTCATCTTAACTCAACTGCGCCATACACATTCTTCATCAAATGATACTTTTGATTTTTTTGCATGTAATGCACCAACACAAAAAACTAGACTTTAATTCTCCTTTAACTTATTCTGCACTTAACACTTCGAACATCGAATTAAACTGTCGTCTATATCTTATCTGTAGGCAATGGAATTCAATAAAAAGAATGTAGCTTACTTTTGTCGTAATTTTGTGCTGAATGAAATAAAATAGACATTGCTTTAAGATTTGTTAGGGATTTTTATTTTATATGTTTAAAATAAGTCATAATATAAGTTACAAAAAATGCATACATTTATAAAACTTATTTATCTATACATACTTCCACGCAAAATTAATTTTTAATAAATGATTATTATTTTATTATCCAATTTATGAACTATCTAATTCGTTATCTAATTATGAAAATAATTTCACAGCAAAAAAATCTTCAATGAATTCGTATTTGTGAACTTTTATTTATTGAGAAATGACACTAATTCATTTTGACCTTTTAAAAATAGTTTAGTTAACTCATGAGCAATTTAAAAAATACATATTAATCAAATTTTGAAAAAAAATAAAGCTTTTCTTAGAAGTACAATTTAATTGCGATTAATAACTGAATTGTTGTTCGAGTTCTTAAAAAGGAAAAAAAAATGTTTATGCGTACTCCAGTAAATGAGAAAAAAAAATGTATGAAGTTTTCTTTTTTTTTTTTTTTTTTTTTTTTTTTTTTTTGTATCACTCACTTCGCAAAGATTGTCTATGTTTCTTATTTACATCTTTCACAAAAAAATATTTTATTTTATTGAGTACTAAAAAAAAACATATACATTTGTTTTTACATTATTTTATTTGTTGTAAACATCATTTATAACTTAATATGTACACAAAGTTTTTGTCGTTAAACAGAATTTGTGTGGATTTGATAGCGTACAACTGTTAACTGTAGGCTAGATACTTTTTCTTCACTTTTTTTACCAAATTACTCACAAAAATTTATATAATTTCTCTAGTAAAAAGTATTTTTAAATGAATAGTGATTTGCTAAATTTAGAATGTTTTTGTAGTCAATGTTTATAATTTAATTAATAAAAAATAATAAACGCCTGAAAAAACAAACTGTACATACATTATTAATATGTAAGCTATTAAAGTTTAGTAATATTAGATTAAAATTGAAATAAATTACTGTTGTTAGTGTTCTGTTCAGAAAAAATGCCATTTAAAGCTTGTAAACTTTTATGCCATTGATATGCAGGATGCGCCATGATTCATACAGCATTGTATTTTTTTTAATTAATGAGTTTCAACATATACTTTCGGGAATATTCAGGGTTTGGATTGTGCATTTCAACTTTTCGAAATAATCTCTAAATTCCTATTTTTTATGCACTAAAGTAAATCATTTCCCCCGAAAACATACAAAAACAAATGATCTTACCATAAGTTTTTTCTTTTGTCGAATCTTTTCTTTGCATAGAAAAACTACAGCTGTCTTAAATACAAAACACATTGCATACAGTTCTAAACCTTTCTTAATTTTGCCTAAGAATTCTGAAATATTCAGCCATTCTACGCCAGCGTAGAATAGTAGTTCTCCTGAGCTGAGATCTACATGCTGAAAAGAAGAAAAAAACATTTTCACGTTTCTATATGTTTTATTACTCAAAATATGCAAGCAAATAATCACTTGAACTATAAATTTTAGTTTACAAATAATACATTTCCATTAATGTATCAGTTATATAAAATTCATTTTTTCTTACTTTTTTTTAATTGCTTCCAATTTTTGTTTGTTTAATTCTAAATATTTTAAATAAAAAAAGTAATTCTTTTCCTTCTCTTACTAATTCTTCTTCTCTTTCTAAACTTTTATGCACAGTAAAGAGGAAAATAAGGAAAATTTAAAATGAATTAAAAAAGAGGATAATTTCCTTTTTGTCCAAATTTTATTTTATTTTATAACAGTCGTTGATCGGCCGACCTAATTTCTGGTTTATGACAAATTTTTAACTTCGTAGCCTTGTAATTTTGAACCCAATTCAGAAGATAAGGAAACTCCTAGATTAAGTATTGTGAGAAATTCGCCTTCGTGGATGAACTAAACAGCATTAACTCTTTTGATGGAACTAAGCAGCATTTGCGTGACAGGGAGAGGAAAACCACGAAAACCTTCCCCGTTTAACCGGATGGCGAGGGGACTAACCCATTATCAGTCCATCACTGAGGATATTTTGTGTCATCACTGTGGTCGGTGCGAGTCAAGTGCTGAATTTGTTTCGACCAGCCATCGTTGAGGTGAACCACCTCGAGACAAGCGCTCTATCCCCTACCACCACGGCTCTTTGTCCGAACTAAGATGAAGAGCTTTGAGCTCATCAGTTTCAAACTAAACCTTTACCAATCTAGACAATTTCACACCAAGTCTTTCCAAGTAACACTTCCTAAGTGTTTCTTTTTTGATGAAAATCAATTTTTTTCGCCCACTTGAAAAACGTAATCTGTTTTAACAATTAATTTTTGGAGAGGGTATGCATTTATAGCTAAAATAGAGGCGGATATCGACGTAATCTCCCCATGTTTTTAAAAGAAGTTCAAATTTCGATTGAAAGGAAATACCTTTCGGAGATAAATTCTATTCGAAATCGTTCAAGAGCAATTGAACTTTGTATTGTTTTAGTGCAATTAAACAACATAAGACAACAGAACATAAAAAAAAAACAGACAAAGTAAGTGCTTCACGATGGATTTCTAGAAATGTGTCTGGACAACTAGTTTCTTTCGGTTGCTAATGTATGAACACTAAAATAGAATTTCAAAAATCTGATAAAATAAAACTCTTTTTTAAGAACTTTTAAAAATTTTTTTTTTTACAATAAGTAGCTTATCATACAGAAAGGCCAAACATATAAAAATCCCAATTTTGAACTTTTGGTCATCACTTTAATTGATTTTCCTATTGCATGGCAGAATTTTAATCAGACATACAAGAACAAGAATTTTAATCAGGCATTAAGATGGAACATTTTGGTAATTTGAAAATGTATCGAGTTTTTGATTTCAACAAATTTTTTTAATCAATTAAATAACAATTAATTCTGCTTGTAGTGGTCTGGAGACGATTTAAATTTCTTAGAACATTAGATGCAGTGATGTAGTTTAAATTTGAGTTCTCTAGCTAGTTGGAGTCGAAATTTTTATTGCAAGATTTCATCGCTACAAATAAGAAATTCAGTTAATAACTGTTCTAAGATAGATAACAGATCTATCTGAGGCTTAAATAACTGCAAATAAATTCTTCAATTTACGGAATCAATTATTGATGAATTTTTGAATATGATTGGAAAAATATTTTTTTAAAACTACTTTTTTGGATTTTATATTTTTGTAGGAATACAATTCCAATAATGTAACAGATTTTTTAAAGTAACTATTAGACTTTTTATAATTAAGAATTTTTTTTTCTTCTTGTAATCAGAGCGTCAGAAAAAAAACCATATAAAAGGAGCACCGGTGTTCCATCTGCTTCAAGGGTTAAATCAATCCTATAATTTGTTTTATAATTTATGCGACAGATTTCATTTCTTATCTTGATAATTTTTAAATTTTTTTATACTGTCAGTGAATTTTTTTAAAACTGACAAAGTTAAACATGTTTACAACTTTAGTACAGATCTATTTAAATTTTTTTCCATTTAAGTGTTATTTGGTTTTAAATGTATTTTTACTAAATATAAATTAAAGAGGATATATAATAACAATATCTTAGTAAAAAATTGGTTCCAAAAATAAGATTAAAGTTCAGTCAACTTACTTGCTTAGAAGATTTCAGATGTTGTCGATGTAAGTGATCAAATATTGCACCATACTCTTCGTGAATCCTTTGCATTTCATTTATGTGTTCTGCTACTCGTTCCATACCCTTCAGAGCCTCTGTTGAAAAAACAATAGCAAATATTGAACACACTTTGCCAAATTCTTTAATTTACGGAATCCAGTTTACTTCAATTATTATAAAATATCTCAAAAAATGATTATAACTTGTTGATGGAAACGTCAAGTAAATGCATGAAGATGTTCGAATTATAATTGTGAAGAAGATTGTTTAAATTAATAAAGTTTAGGAAATATTACAATATGAAGTGTTTTATAGGAAGAAAACAAAAGCTTTTTTTTACGATTTTAGGTTATTGCATTTATTTTTTCGTATACACAACTTAATTGTAATAAATATTGAAAGCCAACTGCAAAATAATACTGAAAACTGCTATTACTTAATAAATAGTTCAAGCTTTATAGCTTCTAATTTGAGATATGTTTTTTTTTAATAGTGAAATAGAATATTCCAATCAATGAGTTTGTTCCACGCATTCACGCATATCTGTTTTCCACTGGTGAGATGGCTTAAGATTAACAATTAATAAAAAATCTTGCATTTTGAAAACTTTATCCTCAAAATATCCAGCATCTTTCTGAGTTTAGAATCGGGTATAAGTCTTTGTAACATTAATACTTGAATAAATACCTGCAAGGTGTTGGTGCTCCTCCGATATAGGATCAGTGAGGTGCTTGAGCTGTTGCAGAAGCAATGGGTATTTGAGTATCCGCTGTATTGGCTTGATGAGGTAGGACTCCAATGAGAAGGAATGCTGGCCTCGAGGATTGCGGGACTGTAAGAATTCCACGAGAGCCGCGTTCCCCTCGCCTGAACACATACACAAGATTGTCAGTATAACATAACATGGCATTCACATTTCAATTACAAAACTTGCTTGATTTACAGCTAATTTTGAGATGATATTGGAAAATTTTTCACGCGTTAGAAGTTCCGAGTTTCTTAAAAGGAGTTTTAGTGCTACAGTCGAACCTCGATTTCACGAATATTTCGATATCTCGAAGAAAAAAAAAATTCCATTCAAATTTCCGATACACTAAATTTTAACTTGATTTCACGAATTTTTTTTTCTAATCCCTCGATAACTTGAATTTTTTTCCCATTAATAGTGTAGATTTATTTTTCTGAAATTAAAAAAATATTCCAAAAATATTTTTTTTTTTTAAGAATGGCTGACAAGGCATGGAATGATGTGTCTTCCTCTACGATAATGAATGACTTCAAGAAGTCTGGATTCATTAAAGATCACAAAAGTAGTCAAACAATCAATCAATTCTGCTGAAAACTACACTGAAAATGATTGGAACAGATTGACCAGACTCATGAAGCTTGATGACATGGAATTTCATGACTTTGTAAACGTAGATGATGCAGTAACAGTGTGTGGTCAGTGGGATGACAATGATATTATCGCTCAAACGAAAGCTTCTTGTGAACTATCAGAGGAAGAGGATAAGGAAATCGAAGATTTACAGCCCAATGTTACTAACAAACAAGCACTTTCTGCAGTGGACACTGTAAGGAGATTTATTGAGAGGCAGCCGAATATGTCAGAAGAGACATTTAAAGCTATAGTCCACTTAGAAAGTGTTATAGACAAACCTTCTTACACATCTCTGAAGCAAACAGCAATTGAATATTTCTTTAAATGAAAGTGTAAAAAGTGTTTTTAGAATAAATATGGAATAGTAAATAAGGTATGTAAAGAGCATTTCTCTTTATTCTACCATCGATAATAAGCGATTTTGGATAATTCGAATTTTCGATATTTCGAACTTCTTCGAGATATCGAGGTTTGACTGTATAATTTTTTAATAATTTTTAATAATAATTTTCGATAATTGAATCAGTCCGAAGACAAACTATCTTCAAAGAAAATTCACTATAGACGACTTGTTTTCGAACTCGTCGATTCCAGTGTTGTAGTGGCAATTTTTCATCAGAGGAATGCTCAGTATTTAAAAATTTTATGAACATTTTTCTTTAAATAATATGTTGAAGTATTATAATTTTTTTTTCGTTTCTACCTGCAGTTGGTTTAAAATTCTCTAAATAATAACCACTTTAAAGTCAGGTTTTTCGCAAGTAATTAAAATTCATTACGCAATTTAATGCTGAATAAAAAATAGCAGATATAAAGGCTTGTTAAATGGTTGCATTAAATTTTTACCTTTATCAGGAACGGTATGGTGTGATTGCGATTCTCATTGTCGTTATTTTTTGTCGTACTTGATGTATTTTCATATAAAATATTTCATTTTATTTGATTCTTTATTTTTTGAGTTGCACGCTAAAATGTTTGCTTCTTAACTTTAGGACATGAGTGAGGACTAAAATGAATGTACGTATCTCAAATTTTCATGTGTTCAGAAAAATTGAACTATGATTGTAGGTAATACGCTTAAACTTTGAAATATACTTTTAGCTGAATTTAAGTTGTAAATTTTCTTTTTAATTTCGAAGAAAAATAAATATTATGAGCTGGTCAACACATTTAAAGGCGTTTTGAGAACATTTTTCATTTTGTTTAGAAATACAATTAGATAATAGCCGCATAACTGCATTTTTCACTCAAACTGGCTCAGTCAGTTTTTTTAAAACTTAGCAAACTAAGATGATAATGTTGTATCAATAAAGTGATTTACCTGGATGAAGCACTTTCTGAGCCTTTGAGTGACTGGCACAAAACGAACTATACAACTTGAACTGATCTGCATAGTACAGAAAAGAATTTCCCAATGCAAACAAGACATTCTAGAAAACAGAAATGATTTAACGAAGCAAGTTATTTTCAATGAAAGTGTTTACAAATATTATAACAATGCATTTGAAGAAACTTTATTACCATGTTATAGTAATACTAAAATTTAAAAATCTGACTTTAATGATTCTATAAGGGCTGCCCAAATGAAAATTGACTGCACTTGATAGTATCAGAAATGCAACAGCAATAGCAATGTTACACTTCAGAGATATAAAATAATATAAGAGACAACAAATTGCTTATAACTGATTAGCTAGTTCGCATGAGAGCATTTAAAGTGAATGTGAAGTGAGTGAAAAATTATGCCTAGAAAAGTAATAAAATTTTTAAGGGCAGAAAAAGAGCATAATGTCTAAAAAAATGACTGTGGACAAATGACATAAAAGTTTACTAGAAGGTCTTACATCAATAAGTGATCTGTCTAAATCCAGGGACAGCGAACACCCGTGATCTCCAATAAAGCCATTTCTTGCTCATATTTTGATTAGAGGCAATCGAAGAGTTACAACTCGTTAAATTTGTCTAGCATTTTGTCTAAGTGAAAGAACAGAACATCTAAAGATTTTACTACTCCTAGTTGTTCTGTTCTAGTCACACCCGCCATCTTAGCACAACTTCACATTCACTTCAATTTGTTTCTTGCAAACTAGTGAATCAGATACACTTCTCTTGCCATTCATTATAACCCCGAATGGTGGAGTTACTGTATTTCTGACGCTATTGCACGTGGCATAGTTTTCGGTGGAAAAATATTATATCTTTGCAAAGTCTTACTCCTAAAAAAATGGGACACTGAATGGTATTGACACTCCACCGAACGCTCTGAAGCATTGTGTTAGAAGGTTCGGTTCTTCTCGCAACAAAGTGAAGTTTCAAAACAATTATTTAAAATATCAGAAGAATAGAAGGATCCATTATTTTGTTAAAAGTGTTCTTTGACATTGGGAAAAATTATCAGAATTAATTACAAATGGTCAGCAACTAAGTTTAAGTATGATGCCTTGTTCTGAAAATAGAAATCCTTCTTGTACACAAAGCAAAAGTCCCAAAGCATGTTGGGATAAAAATTTTTTTTTCATACTACACTAAAGCTCTAAGGGCAACACCGAGGCGGAATAGTTTATTCACATAAATGGTTTCAACTGGTCATGGAATATCTATCGACTAATGTATAAATTTGATTAAAATTGTTAGATATTTTATCATGAAGAGCATCTGAACTGAATTAAGTGTACGCAGTTTTGAAGCAAAATCTTTAGTAAAGACGGTGAGATAGAAAGGCACAAATTATTCCCAGACTCAATAATTTACCTTGAATTGGGAAGGAAGCTCGAATTTAGCAAAGTCCGGTTCAGCGGATATCGCTTCTTCTAAGCTCTGAAGGAAAACTCTTTGAAACTGTACAATCTCTTGTATATTGCCGAAAAGTGCGTTGATTTCAGCGTTTGACAGGAACGTTTCTTTCTTCATTGGCTCAAGGTAGTGCTCTAGCAAACTGTTCAGGTGCTGAAACAGGAGAAAAGAAGTAAGTGTTTCTAAGAAACTAACTGCAGCTTGACCAAACATTGCGAAAGAAACAAGGTCTTTCTTCAGAGTACGTTTTCAAAGTAATTTTTTTATACAAACGTAATCCGAATCAATATTAATAACTGAAGCACTGTATATATATATATATATATATGAATNTATATATAATGCAATATAGAATGAACATGGGGAAAATATAGATCATCAATTTGGATCTGTATTGTTCTTCTCTACATGGTGAGCTAAGGACATGCACTCAACTTTAAAAAATGATTATTTCAGAAATATTTAGTTGCCTGATTAAAGCTAAAAATACACACAACTTTTTTTAATAATTATTGTGTGGTATATTTTGTTATTAGTAGTACGTTTATTGTAATTTTCATCTCTTGTAACTAATCCAGAAAATTTTTCTATTAAACCAGGGCTTTCTTCTAATGAGCATTGGGTTAGTTTATATTCTGTAAAAAAATTCCGAATCAAATTACGGTAAAAGTACCAGCCCCAGGGTGCCAGCACTTTTTCCCGTAATTTGATCCGAAACTTTTCACAGTGTAGTTTTAAAATCATAAGATCCGAAATCGGTTGTGCAGCAACAAAAGTAAATGGTATTTGAAATACTTAGGTAAGCTGTTCAAAAAGTGCTTATAGACTAAGTTTGAGGATCGAAAAACTGTAAAAAGAAGAAAATATTTCTAAGGCTTTTTCTTAATTAAAAATTTAAATTATTTTGTAATTTTATATTTAGATAATATATTATATTTGGATAGTATATTATATTTAGGTTTTTCAGCAGGCTTCCAATTTCTGGAAACGGTTTGAAAATAAAAAAAAAAATATTCAAAGATTGAAAGGAACATCTAGAAAATAGAGTAGAGATATCTGTATCTCAATGGTGTTTTCATTTTTTTATGGAGTTATTTTCGATTTTTGATAGTTTAAAATAATAATATCCAAATGAATAGCTTGCATTCTAAGTAAACTTTGAGCATCATTTTGGAAGTGCGGGCCAATTGTATTTTCAATTTATGGATTCTTGTTGGTTGCTAAATTTATAATTAACTATTTGTATGCCATGTGTCAATGGCTAAGTGCAAGAGATTTAATTTTTATTGTAGTTGAAAGATTTAATAATTTTTAAAAAATGGTCCCTATTGTGTTTCATAACACTTCAAATTTAGACAATTTTATCTTTATTGTAATAGATATATTTAATCATTTTAATAAAGGTCTTCATTGTATTTCATATTATATTTCCAATTTAGACAAAAATGTGATGCCTTTAAAATAGATGGCATTAATTAATAAATAGTAATGGATAAAACGTTGATTCGTCAATATCAAATACATTTGTATACAATATGTAAAATTGTATAATATTGCTTATTAAGTTAATTTAGTAAAGACAATTTATTAGTATATATAGGTTTAAATAAATCATTCACATATACAGAAAGATAAAGGAAGTATAAATGGACTCTATATCAGAAATACAATAGAACCCTGCTAATCTGAACTAATTGTTATTACTGCCTGTTCGGATTACCGAAATTATGGATTATATGAATAAAAAAAAGCTCATTTTAACCATATATTAGTATAAAAAAACATACGTTGGAAATTATAAGCATAGAGTTTCCACACAATTGCAATTTTTACTCACCATTTGTTTTATGAGATCATGCAGTCATTTCTTTTGAGATTGAGTATGTAAATCTTGTTATCAATCAATTGCTTTTCTCAATATATCGCAATCTCTATTCATGTGATTTTGATGCTATAACTTATATTCAAAACTGAATAATCCTAAATTCGTGTGATTCGTGGTGTTTTTTTAAAAACTTTTCTTTGAATCTTTTAATTTTTAAAGTTATATCATTACGCAAGATTGTACACAAGTAATCACGTTTTCAATATTATAGTATTATTCATGGTATTCATTCTCATGGCATGAAAATTCAAAATAACAAGTGCAGATACTGAGATATATAAATCTCACATTAAGATATTTACATATCTATTATGATAAATATAGATATTTAATATCCATATTTATCATATTTTGAATTATATAAATCTCTTATTTGAAAGATACACTGCAAATTTTTTGGAGTTTATTGAACGATAGTATCGCTTAAATTTCCTACAGCCTTAAAAAAGCGTTAGATTGAGCTATTTTATCGGACTTTTTAAAATATACGATACTGTTATTCAACTCATACTACAGGCACATATTTTAACTTAATATCAATTTACACCGTATTAGATTCAACATTGAGCAGATTTTTCTCAGAGTGTAGATAGTTTCGTCATCCATATCGCAACGCATAACCACGTGATTGATTTGGATTAATTGGTTTTTTGAATTGAATGTTGAAAATGTTGAATGTGACTTTTGGATCAAATGTTGTTCAAATTAGCTGAGTTCTATTCTACAGAAATTTTTGAAATAAAATTATGACTGAAACTTAAATAGAAACATAGATAAATTTAGTACTTTATTAAGGTTGCTATAAATTTTTACCATATTCCGGTTCAAGGGTTGTAATACTGCACTGAGTAAAAAATTATGGTCAAAAATACTAGACGTGGATGGTTGTTTCTAGAATGGCTTGAAAATTTCTTTGAATGGTAAAATTTACCATGTTTCTGGCGCTATGGGAACATCTCATTACCGAATTCTCATTTACCGAAGCGCTTTGAAAATGATTTTGGTAAAATTAACAAAAAATATGGTTTTATAGTATAGAATAAAACTTAGTTATTTTACCGTGATAGCTTAGAGCATGGCATAAACACCATTTATTCGGTTAAATTTGCTTTTTTGTATTTTTCACTAATTGTGTGGTAACAAGAACTATAACTTTGAAAACCAGAGCTTCCTGTCAACCGTTTACATATGTATGGAAAAATTACTGTATGAATGATCTAAATACCGTATATTTTGGTTTTAATAACCAGAATTATGTTTCTTTTTTGTATCAGAAATGTCACTATCACACAGTGCGGCAAGTTTTCAAGAATTTTGTTCTCAGTGTATGGTTCATTGTTGAAACGATTTTTTTAGAGCTTTTGTCACCATATTGCAATGTATATTCACACAATTAGAGCGAAGTAACTAGATTTTTGGATTGAAGGGTGTTCAGATTAGCTGGATTCTACTGTACAAGGGTTTCCAAGACGAACCTATGGGGATTATTCATTCCGACAAGAAATAGGAAATGCGAGTTACTTTAGTCATGGCGATATTTATGAAAGAAACCTATACTGAACAAAACAAACAGACAAAGAAATAGGTTGGGGGAAAGCATATTATATTCAAGTGCACAAGACATACATACATAAGTAAAGAAAACGTGAAGAAAGAGTTTTTTTTAAAAAAAGCAAGCAACTATGAAAAAGAAAAGAAATACATAGTCCTGATTTTATATTGATGGTGCAGAAGGATGGTATATATACTGAAGTAAGTATAGAAAGGGATTATGGTCATCATGCGACAATATGTGGAGCGGTAGAAGAACGGGATTATTTCAATGAAAGGTCTGAATTACCTTTTTCAATGCTTCCACATACCAATCGACCAGGTCACTCATGTGCTGCACCAACAACATAAAGGACTAGGAGTCAGAAATAGCAGGGAAACAACACTTCCAAAAATGGGGCTTTTCTAAGGGAGTTCAAAACAGTCAAGTATATAAACTTTTAAGAAAATTAGATAGACATATGAGACCATGTGATGTTGTTTTTTCCCCTTTCCTGCTCTTGGATGGGCTGCATTTTGTGTTAGTGTTTTCTGTTGGGAGCAGAAATAAATGGTAACCAACACATGCAGGTATTCCGTGTATTTTAGCTCAAGAGCTTGGAATGCATGCGTGCGAAGTGGGAATTGAGTGCTTAAAGAAAATATATTCGTTTGTGGAAACAAATGAATCGGCAGATTAAAGAAAGGAACACGTCAAATATGGTGTTTTTTTTTTAAATTTTTTATTTATTTTATCATTTTATGGAAATAAACTTTTCTAATTTACTTGCTTATTATTTGAGTTGTTGAGTGCCAAAAACCTACTTTTGAGTTGAAACAATCAGCCTTTGATGATAAGTCCTGCAAATTTTGAGTCATTTAATAAATTAAATTTTTATTATTTTAATTTTTTATTATTTTAATTTTTTATTATTTTAAAAAATTGCATTTTATTAAAAATCTTTATTATTGATTTCACGATCAGCTTAGCACTGAACGATTCTAAAAATGTGGCAGTCTATGAGTGTAATCTATGAGTAGTATGCGAATCTAATCAGTCATCGCTGGGATTTCAACCACCGAAGCAACAGCTTCGCTGAGCCATGCAATTTTAGAATTCAAGCAAGTTGTTCAAAAATGAAAAAAATTATTCCATGCAATAATTCAATTTAGATTCTGATTTGTGATAGATTCTGATTAGATTAGATTCTTGTGTTGATTAGATTCTGATTAGATTTATATTATTGGCCAAATGAAATAAATTTCCGTATTTTATGTAAGCTACACATAATTGAATACATATCAAAATGCGAGTCAATACGGTAACTAATTTCTAGAGGAAAAAAAAAGAATTTCTAGATGTTTGTTCCATTCTTTAAACAGGTGATTCAAATGTAAATTGATAATTGCGTTTGCGTGCAGCAATAAAACATATAAAAAGTTTATACATAAACAAACTTGAATTTTTTTCGACGAAATTTGAGTAGTTGTAAAGTTTTAATTCGTAATTTGATAATGTATCAATCTAAATCAAATTTAATCTTTGAATGAGTTAAGAAACTGTCAAACAATAAAATGATTGTCATTAATAAAAAAAATTGCAAATTGGAAATTTTTGATCATGTAACACTAACATTCTTAATTCTAGATCTCCTGAAATTTCTGATTGCACCCAAATTCCGACTGAAATGAATATTTTCTTTTTTAAAGTTAGATTTAGTTTTGTTCCACACAAATTCTTCTTGTATTTACAAATTTAAAAAAAATTGCTTCACAACTGTTCATCAGTATAGGTCTTTTAGTAAAAACGATACGATTTTTATATACACGTATTAGCATTGAAGTCATAGTCGAAAAATCAATGGTTAATTTAATACTGTATAAGGCCTTTCAATATTCTATTACGGTAAAACGATGACTCAATCAATGCAATTTGGTTTTATAAAACGTTTTCTCTGTTAAAAATGTAAAAAAGTATATACGTATTTAAAACGAAGTCTTATTTTGACACTTAAAAAATAATTAAAATCATGCATAATGGTGCGAACACATATGTGAAAGCATAGTCATTAAATTTGGTGTTTAATAACTTAGTTCTGTTTTAGTAAGGGTGTTTTAGAGGGATTTAAAAAAATAAATAATCTTATAATGTATGGATTGTATACCTTTACGTAAGTTCTTTCTGTATCTATAAGTTCCATAATCACTTTCCTTAGTTTCTCACCGTCGGATAGTTGTCTTGAAGGCATATAGGGTATGCTTGCAGAACCACTGCTCGCTGTGCTAGCACCACCGAGACTAGAGCTTCTCCTTTCCAAAGGAGCCCGGCAATATTCTGTGACTGTATCTGCAGTCTGAAATTTAGAAGACATTTCTGTGAAACTTAATCTACGGTTCTTACAGTATAATGAAGAAATTTGGTGAAATAAACAAAAAAATGCTTAACAGCTAATAAATATTCTATGCTTGCGAAGAAAAACAACGGGAACTATTTATGTTTTCACACTTCTTAAGATGCACCAGGTTTTGTTTTTATTTTCTTAATTTATTATTTTTCTATTATAATCGTCGTTGAACAGCTGATCCAATTGAGGGTTTATGGCTACCGATGTTTAACTCCGCAGCCTTGTAGTTTTGAACCCGATCCAGAAGACAAGAGATTTCCTGGATGAAGTATTGAGTAAAATTTGTCTTCGTGGAGAACCTTTTAATGAAACTAACCTGATTTTGCTTTACATGGAGAGGAGAGCTACGAAAACCTCTAGCGGTTAGTCTGACTGTGAGGGGACTCTTATCCGTCATCCGTCTGCGACGAAGGATATTTTTACGTCAGTATTGTGGTTCATCTGGACCACCTGTCAGAATTTGCATCGACCAGCCATCACTGGGATTCGAACCCGGTTCAACTTATTGGAAGGCAAGCACTCTATCCCCTGAGCCACCACGGCTCCTACACCAGGGTTGGAAATAAGCGGGCATTGTCGTTATTTGCACAAAATTTAAATTCAACAATTTGAAAAATTACACCCAGTTGTTATTTTTGGAGCCTAACTTCCAAAATACCTTTGCTCCGCGATTCGACTTGTTGTTGTCGTTGGCCATTTAGGGAAGAGGTGATATTGCTCTTGTTTTCCAGTGGCGCCATCTATAGCCAATAATTCGACTTCTGCCACACAAATACGTCGCAACCGTTTATAGAGCTGACCCACTCATACATCCATTCATTCATCCACAGATCGTAATTTTGACCTGTGCCAGAGAACGATCAATCTCCAATTCAGTACTCCCAAACGTATAATTTGTTATGTGAACATGGAAAACTTTGTGACCCGACAGATTTAACTTGCAATAGTCACCATTTACTACACGGGGAGTCTTTGGCCGGTGGAATCGAACTCACGACCACTTGGACATAGGTCCAACGATCTACCAACCAGGCTATACCAGCCCTTAAAAAATAAAAACTTTTTTTTTAATATAAAATTATTTTGAAAATCATTATATCATTGATACAAAACGTTATAAGGTAACTTAATTTTTACAATCGTTTTTCATGAGAAGATGCAATATATCTTTTATTTAATCTTAAGCTAATACACATTTTTGTATAAATTGAGATAAAAACGGGAATCAATGATTTTCAATATGATTTCACTTAAATTTTATTCCGAATCGTCTTATTCTGAAAGTTTGCAGTATATAAAATTATAGAGCCATGAAATTCATAGTTGAATCTCTATGTTTGAAATATATCTTTCAAAAAACTAACTTGAAAAAACCATTCTCCCATTTTACCAAACCATTGCCGTTTGAAAAATTATCATACATTCTTTTCAAACTATATGACTTAAAAATATAATTATTAGTTATAATTTTATAATCATTTATCTACCTTCTTTAAAAGTAAATTTTTCTATTCTTAAAGGGAAATACCAATGTAAAACTTTCAAAAAATTTGTTACATTTTATTTCATTCAATACACACATGGAAAGACTTTCCTAAAAATTTTCGCCAAAATTCATATAAATAAAAATGAATATAGTACAACTGTGTAGCTTTCGCGCGCTTTAAATAACGTTTTTTCAAAACAACAAACTTCCCTCTCATATTTAGTAAATCCTTAAATTTTAACTATATTCACTTGTAAATTTAGCAGCATGAATTTAATTGATATATTTTCTATTGTACAATATTGTATCGCAGCAGAACATTTTTATGTAGATTTTGGAAAATTAAATGTTAAATCCTGAATAATGAATAACTTTAAATTTAATATGCCAAGTATTTCATTATAAAAATTGGATATGGTTTTAAAAATTTTTTTTCGGTATGAGAGTATAGTGCAATGGTTAGTGCGTCTTCTTAATCATTTTTTAAAATTCGTTTCCAGGCGATAATTGAGTTCTCGTTCACTCTTACTTTTATGTTCTATTTTCAAATCAGGTCCGTTATTCTATAACTTGAATTGCATAAATTTTGATAAAATTCGTATCTTCAAACTAGTTAAAATCGTAATTAAATTAAATTGACAAAATTTTCACTTGGTCAGCGTTTTACAGGAAATGATCTCACCAAAAACAAACTTTTTTTTCTCTTTTTACAGTACTTATTCTATTTTATCGACGCATTTTAACTCTTATCACACATATAGAAGAATTTAAAGATAAATATATATGCTATTATTTGATATGGGTTTCATAGCAACATTTAGAAGAATAGTTCTTTTATTTTTTCAGAAAAAATCACAATAGTGTTTCCCCTTAAGAGATTCATCAAAGATTCATCACTGTTACCTTTCTGCATGAATCTTCAATTACCTTCAAGATGCTATCAATTTGATCTACAGAGAGCGCTGAGGTATCGGCATTAGGAACAGGAGAAGGGGTCGGTCGACCAGAAGTTTCAGGAGATCTCTCAATAGAACCTTTTACAAGAAAAAAATCTAATGTTAATAAAAATCTTTTGTTAAATATGAAATTTATATTAATAGTAATGCAAAAAAAAGGCATTTTTCCCCTTAACACAGGTATGAAGCATCACTGAATATAATAACTTAAGTAAATTTTCTACGAAAATTAATACCAATAGTTTCCTATTTATTTTCTTACGCAAGTTTATTTATAATGTGCCCAAAGATTGATAAAATCAGCACAAAAATTAAATGCATTATTTCTAAAGAATTTCCTAAATATTTAGTAATAATTTTTAAAATGAATTCTAAACTTGCGTACAAAGTGTTTAACTGCATTAAAAAAAGTGTAGTATGAAAAGTAAACGTATAAAACAAAATAATTTTGTTTAACGTTTGATTTAGGCTCGTTTAAAAGTGAGTAATTTTAAAAAAAGCACAAATTTACTTCGTCGTTAACCCTTTGATGTAGATGGAGCACTGATGTTCCTTTCACATATTTTTTCTGATGCTCTAATTACAAGCAAAAATACATTTTAGTATTTTAAGCATCAGCAAAGCCACAACATCCTCTCTGCATGATTTTCTAGCGGATTTGCCAAGTAATGCTTTTTATTGCTACGACTGACAATTTTTTAACATTACAAATTACTTATCCTAATATATTTAATTAGATATCTCTTTTACTAAATAATTATTAAATATAAACCAATATTCAATATTTACATTTACTTCGATTCACTTCAAACTGAACTTTTAATAGTTTGTCAAAAGAAATGAAAAGTATGATTTATATTTAGCTTGAATTGCCATTCATATCATAATCAATCATTGTAAGAATAAAAAATAAAAATTTAGCAATATGATTCAATATTTAGTTCTAAAACCAACGTAGAAAAAAAATCTAGTGATAAAGTTTTAATCTGTAGGAGAGAAAAATTTACCTCAAAAGCATTTACTCAAATATCATGCCAGCAAATATAGCCCATAAATTATCTTTCTACATTAAACTATTTTTCTACATCAAAAAATCGCAAGTGGTGGCGATGCCAGGTCCGGTGAGGTGTCACTCTCAAATAACAAAAAAAAAAAAAAAAATTAAATAAATAAATAAATAAATAAAAATAAATTGTGATCGCTTTATTACGATCACTAGTTACCCATTGGTCAAATGCTTTTTTTCTTTTCTGGATTGACTCCGATAAACGCCACAACATTTCAAATCATGGGTCGCAGAAACTCACCGGTCGTCATAGCAACGCATGCAATGACGACGCATGCGCACTGTTTACTATTACTCTTGAACAGAGTTGAAAAGTATGATGACGTCTAAATAAGGTGCACACGCCATCAAACCCAAAACAACACCCATTTTACCAATGGGTAAAAAAAAAAAAAGAAAGAAAAAGAGAGCGATATTGCATGGTGCCAGATATAGATCCTCACATTTATAATGAATTTTTTTTAAATAAAAAAACTCAATAAAGAGCGATGAAATACGTTCCCCATTTGGATTGTTATAAGTCTCTTCAACGAGTAAAATTACTTCTCACTAATTTCGTCGTATTGAGTCACACAATCTCTATTCCTTAAGGTTAATTTTTTTCATGTATCGATCATTATTTTTTCAAGTCCAGACTTCTAGTTGCATATTTCGCTATGATTAGCATATTAACAAAATGTTCTTACATAAAGTTACAATAATTGTATATTTTGAAAACAAAATGTTCTGTGATACTTTAGCTTTTTTCGAAAAATACTTTCACTTAAGGATAAAAAACAATGAGGAAATATAAGCAATTACAGAAGCTGACATGTGAAGCCTGCTAGTAATATTAAAAATCAGCACTTGTTTAGTATTTATTTATCGTCACCCTTAAGATCTTTGTGGAAAGCAAAAAAGTTTAAATCAAATTTAAAAACTCATAAAAATAATTATCGAATATTTATTAATGAGATATTAAATTGAGAGGAGACTTTCCGTAGTTTTTAATTTTTACTTAAAATTTGGATGGGCCAAGAAAATGGGAAAATTAAAGAATACAAAACATAACGAAGAGATACAACGAAAATGGCCGGAACTAACACATTCTGATTACTACGCCAAGATTGTTTTTCTTTTTACTTACACCAATCAGCGTTTTTAAAGTTTTTTAAAATATACATTTGAAAGTTTTTCTTGTTCTTTCTTATTAAATTCTTCATAATTACTACTATTCTTATCGAGAGAATTTATATTTGTTGCCTCTTCTAACAAAATTGTAAACAATATCTATGCGAAATAGTCAATAATGGTGGAACATTACCCTATCTTCGTATATCCCTTAAAGATTCATTTTTAAAGCAGTTTTAAGCCTCGTTATTAGGCTCCGTATAGCGTCATTCGTTATAACTAAGTATAATAGATATTTGGGAATTAAAATAGATCAACATTCCTGAGGGTCATTTTTTCCCCAGTGTTTTTACAAATTTAACAAGAGGGTGTTCTATATTTGTAAGGAAAAAAATCGATGTTTCAAAAATACTAATACTAGTAATAGTGATCATCAACTCACTTGACTGTTGAGATTTGAGCAAATTTCCACCTTCTTTGCACCACATGGGTGAGGGGACAATGAGTTTTCCTATCATGTCCTCTGAGATGACCGAGTCGCCAGGCGGAGGAGGGCAGACAAGTGACTCGATGTAGTCATCAGTCGTAGTTCTCATGGCACTTGCTAGATCAGGAGGTTCTGTTCTCGAAGATCGCATCATCATACATAAAGACTGCTCTTCTTGCAATACACTTTCGATGTACATCATGTCCAAGTCACTAACTATGGCACCATTTATCACCATTATCTCGTCGCCTTTCATCAGACCTATAGGATAATAATTTTTGCATCACTATTGAAACTGACTAATGAAAAAATAAAGAATGAAATCAAATCATTCCATATGATGTGAGCTTTTTTATGTTTGATAATGTTTGAAATATTGAAGCAGATGTTTTTAGAACGTCTGCCTCCCTTCTATTAACACACTAGTATTGATTATTTTATTCCCTTCTTTGACCTGATTGTTCTCCAGACTAATTCTTCAGAGTTTGATAACGTATTTGCATTTTTTTCCTCACGCTTAAGAATTAATTTGCAATCCAAACCTGCCAAATTTTTGACTTCGTTTTCTATTAAAGATATGCATCGAGGACTGCCATTACATAATACATTTATTACATAATAAATTTATTATATAATAAATTAATTACATTCAGAATAACCGCATATAATGTATTGTTGTGACTAAAAGCAGTAATTGTAATCCGAAAATAATATGAAATCTTCCTTTTTGTTTAAAAGGAAATTTCAACGCAATAAAAGAATGTCAACTGCTTTTATTAATGTATTGTTGTGATTAAAAGCAGTAATTGTAGTTCGAAATTAATGCGAAAATTTTCCTCTTGTTTAAAATGAAATTTCAACGCAATAAAAGAATGTCAACTGCTTTTAATGTATTGTTGTGACTGAAAGCAGTAATTCCTTTCCATAATTAATATGAAATCTTTTTCTTTTTTTTTTGTTTAAAATGAAATTTCAAAACAATAAAGGAATGTTAACTGCTTTTATTAATGTATTGTTGTGACTAAAAACAGTAATTGTAGTCCGAAATTAATATTAAATTTTCCTTTTTGTTTAAAAAGAAATTTCAACGCAATAAAAGAATGTCAACTGCTTTTATTAATGTATTGTTGTGACTAAAAGCAGTAATTCTTTTCCGAAATTAATATGAATCTTTCTTTTTGTTTAAAATGAAATTTCAACGTAATAAAAGAATGTCATATGCTTTTATTAATGTATTGTTGTAACTAAAAGCAGTAATTCTTTTCCGAAATTAATACGGCCTTTTTCTTTTTGTTTAAAAGGAAATTTCAACGCAATAAAAGAATTTCAACTGTTTTTATCAATTTATAAAAATTCAACTAATAAAAATGATTCAGTTTTCTCACTATTTAATCAGAAAATGTTTTCAATTTGTCTAGCAAAAGAAATCAAATGTTTTTAAACTTTTTCCTTACAATGCACTCTTAACTAAAGCGGATTTTATTTAATAAATTAAATTGGATGTTAACTTTAACTGCAAGAAATACAACTTCGGTTGTTATACATTCAAGGCATTGAAAACGAATTTAATATTTATTGAGCTTACCTTGCTGATGAGCAAGACTGCCTTCTTCAACTCTACTGACGTAGACGCAAAGTTCATCTTGATGTTCTACATTTTCTACAAGCTCTGCTTCTACGCTGAAGCCAAATAACTGATCTTGACTGTGGCGACCTAGTTCAACTTGATATAGTACTTTAGGACATACTTCTAATACTTCATATTGCTGGAAATAAATTGAATTTGAATCAAGACTAAGTGTGAAATCACGATATGTATAGTGATTCAAAATATACTGCTCTTAATGAATGATATTAAGGAAAAGTTAAAATACATTGACATGAAATTTAAAGAAAAAACTATTTAGTAAGAACATTAAATAATATCTAAACTAGAATTAAATTTCTGGAAGTAATCTCTTTAAATTTATTTTCTCGTTTATAATTTTATTTTCTCGTTTTTAAATTAATTTTTTCGTTTATAAATTTATTTTTTTGGTTTTTAAATCATTTTTAATTATTCCTACTTATTCTAATTTTTGGTATTTTATGAGCATATGAAAGCTTATAATTAATTACTATTTCTGTTTTTTTTGAACTGAAGAATAAATATTGATATTTTGACAAATGCTAACCTTTATTACTTTATAATTGGAATGTTTTGCATAATTTTTTTATTATTTTCTGAATACTGTTCTGAGCAGTGTATCACGGTATGTTAATCTTGTTTACGTCAATTTTTAATGTCGTAATACTTTCATCTGAATGTAAGACGTTTCTAAGATAGATGATGCTTTTTTAAGATATATGAAACAAACGATACTGATTGTACTACGTTTAAAATAAAAAAATTGTTAATTGCTAATGAGACGTTTTTTGTTTTATTTCATAATATCAGTTATCTCTTTCAGGTAATTTATTTTTCTAATCTTAAGTTTTATTGAGAGGGAAATTATTCGAATAACTGTTTGACATGCATTATTTATTAGCAAATAGAAAATTAAAGAAAACAAAATTTTACCTGTATAACATAAAATGTCACTGTTACATAGAAAATGAATTAAAAAATATTTCAAAAATAAATGTTATCTTGTTAAAGTTTCATTTCGGTTTGAAGAAATATATTTGAAAATATAATTAATTCCGTCACTCCAGAAACATTTCATGAATGATTTAAACTATGGTATATGATATGAGCAGTCATTTGCTCATATTTGGAACTAAAATGTCTCTTATCTAAAATGTACTCAAGGCAAAGAGCTCGATGTTTAAGTTCATTTTCGATAATAATTTAATAGATTAAGTATTTCAATATTCTTAATTCATTCAATAAAAAGTGAAAAATTACAAAAATACATGGAATTTTAGAGGTGATATGTATTTTCCATATTGGAGAAGAGATTTATTCTAAAAATTAAGATTCTTAAACTTCATAATTTTCTTTTACTAATTTCAAATTTTCAAATGATTAAATTTTCAAAGGTTTAAATTTTCAAATGATTATATGAACTTATCTTAAACCCACTTACATTGACTAAATTTTCGATGAGTTCTGTTCGTGGGGGAACAAAATATTCGTCGACGTCTTTTCTTTTCTTGGCCCTGAAGAAATGATCATTAGGTGAAAGTTGCTTTTTACCACAGGCACTCCAGAGAACTTCTTCCACTGTCATATTATCTCTAACGTTTAGAGACGTCGTCGATACAATCTAAAAACAAAATGAGTTATTCGACGTTAATCGCTTTTACACTGGTGAAAACAATTGAAGGGACAAAAGGTTTCTTTTGTAATAAAAAAAACTAATAAGACTGAACCTGGCCAAAGTATCATCAGATGTAAGATCAATATATGGGAAAACAAAAATGAGCACGGTCTGTACACTAAATAAGGTAACTGGTTACGCGTACAGCGCATCAGCCGGTCGACAACCAGTCAGTGAGAGAAAAACACGTCTAATAGGATGTATTACTGCCTCTAACAGTTATAAAACTCTTGAAATGGTGTTTCATGCTTTGTGCCAGAATCCTTATCAATTAGTGTTTTAGCCGCACCAAGACTCCTTTGAACTCATCGATGGTCGTTGAAGCTGATCTTCGAGCTGCAATTGAGCATCCAAGTGCTTCTCATGCATGTTCGATGGAAGTAAGGTCAGGGAACATTGCAGGGGCTATTCCAGTCGTTGAATATTCCTCGATTGGAGGTATTTGTCCACCAACTCTGAGCCCTGTGTGGATGGACGCTATCATCCATAAATAATAAATTTGGTCCATATACTCAGCAGAAAAGTGTCACATAGGGGGCAAGGATCTCATATCTGTATTGTTTGCCAGCCAGAGTACCGCCATTGAACACCTAAAGGTTAATATGCCCGTCTTCCATGATTCCTGCCTGGACCATCAGACTACCTCGACAATAGTGGTCCTCTTCGACAATGTTAGAGGGACGATATCGACTACTGGGTTCTCTCCAGGTAAGAAAACTTCACGTGTCACTGTCCAGACTGAATTGCGACTCATCACTGAAGAGAAACCGCCTTCAATTATCCTCTGTCCAAGACAGATGTTCACACCATGCAAGATGGTTCTTTTTATGGTTCTCAGTCAAAAGGATGCAGACTAAAGGGCTCCTGACATTCAGGCCACCTGGTGACTGTTATCTGCGAAATGTATGTTCCTGCTGCATTATAAACATTGCGAAATAGTTGTGTCGCTGTCTCGGACTTATCCCTTTTTAGCTGGAAGTCTCAAATAACTGTCTTGGATCCGAGTTGTTTCCCTTTTTGACATTGACCAGGTCGAGGGCGTTGACCTGACCTATTTTTGTGAATTCTTTCTACCGAGTAAACACCAGTCTTTTCGAAACCTCGAGGTCATTACAACAGGCAGCCAGTGATTGGCCGCCTCGAATCTCCTAACAATCCGCCATCTTGTGGCATCGTGTAGGCGATGATGACTGATCATACCAACGATGGCGTAACTAAGAAATTAAAAAAAACAACAACTAGATACGATGTTTCAGAATGTCCTTACATTACAAGCTCCTGTGAGCAAATGAGGTACCTCTACACAAACGCGACCACAACGCCACTTCTTAATGAAGTCACAGGCCACTTGCATGGCAGAGGTATCCACAATGAGCTTAGTTGCCATCTGATATCCTACTTGATTATAGGTGTTATTTTTCTTTTTTAAAAAAACGTTCCTCCTTTTAATTGTTTTCATGAGTGTATTTTGGCCCAATATACAATGCTTAACTTAAGAATGTTTTCACTCAATGTTTTCACCTCAAAGACATTTATTCTTAGGTAAAATATAATACATTATATTACTATCTTAAAGTAAATCTATTTATATCTCTTAAAAATGCTAGAATTCATGAGAGTGGTACCCATGGAAAATATCGAATAGAAATTTTAATCCAAAATAAAAAGTATTATCGTGTTGCTAAGTTTCTGTCAATATGGCAGAAAGGATTGCAATTTTTTTATATAGTCAGTTCATTATAACAGAGCTTTTAATATGGCAAAAATTAAAACGAGTGTTCATGATATTTTCATAATTTGAAAAAATATACAGGAATACGCACCCTGTATTTTTGGAATTATTACTTGCAATTATTATCATCTTACTGAATATTTTGTAAATTTTAGCTGGTTGTATAAGTATAGTAATTAAGTTGTTCAACAAAGATAAGTGTAATTTATAGTTATATGTATAAGTATAAATGCGGGATAAATGTGAAAATATATTAATGACTTAGCTTAGTCATATTTTTTAACAATATGATTTACAAGTAGGAAATTATGGGATTGAATTCGGATCATTCTAAGTCGAGGTATTAAAACATATACATCGCAACAGCATTCGATAGTAGCTCTTGGTAAAAAAAATAATTGTACATTTCATTGTAACTTAAAATTTCATTTAATTTCTAAAAATTTCTTTATATAAGTCAACAACGATCATGCTTCATATAATTTAAAAATTTTAAAATATTATCAACAAATATGTCACAATATTTAGTTCTAGATAAAATAATCATTAAAATGTAATATGATTCATATGTTACCTGGTTATCAGGGATTTGTATTTTGATTTGTCTTTCTGGCATTGATGGTAAATCTAAACTACAACTAGAGGTCGTGGAAAGACTCAAAGAACGTCTGAAATTAAAATATTTTCTTAGATATTTAAAATTTCATAAAAATTCCATCAGAGCTGAATATTTTCATAGTCTTACCTTCCACTATTAGATCTTGATAGAGATCGCCTTTTAGTCGCCCCCCTTCCAGACAGGAGGTTTGTCAGCAGGGAAGGGCTTCGAGCACAGATGTATGCGTGGAACGAGGACACTGTGAACACTCCGAGTTTGTTCAATGTAGCCTTAGTGGCTTTTGAAACGTGGGTTAACAAACTCTGAAAATAAAAACCATGGTATAACAAGTCATAATCAAGATATATTTAAGAAATATTACATTCTATTTATCGAATTTAGTATTGTATCAACTTAAGACGAACTTATTTATTATCAATACATTCTTATAAGACATCCCTTATCGTTAAATTGTAAAATTGTTCAAATGTACTGAAATATCTAATATTATTCAATAGCTAAAAGTTTTAACATTAACCATGCTAATGTGTGAAAATACTGCAACCTCAACATTACCAACTTCTGTTTTAGAGTATCAAAAAGAATACAGGTGATTAGACCCAGTGTCTAAGTAGACAGTAGTTCAACGCAACCAAAATTTGCCTCCAAAATTCAAATGAGAAGCCTGGGTCTTAAAACTTACTATCAGGACTATTCACTGAATGATTTTCAAAAGGTAACTGATTTCAGTTTAAGAAAGGATAAGTTTCAAGGAGAAAAGATAATTCCAAACTTTTTTTGTCACTTGCGCTTTTCAACACTATAACAAAATTCATTCATATATTTAGGAATCATAATGAAACTCAATTTAGTACTTTATTAAAAATATAGAAAATTAGCAAAGCATCGATTTAAAATAATTGTTCAACAAAAATAAATGTTTCTGCACAATAATGTAATGAGTGAATGATTAATGTAAAATAGAGAAAATAATTAATGTAAAATAGAGAATATGTGTGAAAAATAGGTGCTAGAAAAGCAACATACATTTGGCAAAGATTATTTAATCAAAATTCCTGAACTATAAAACAAAATAAATAGGAAAAAGTTTTAAAATTTTGATCATTTGCATTAGATACTATGCAAATATAAAACCAAAATTCTTGAACAATCAAAGCATTTAGATAAAACATAAAAAGAACAATGTAGTTGCTCATTTAAAGCAATGAAATTTTATCAACCTTTGGATTGGGAAGTTCTCCATTTTGTAAAGAAGACATGTAACACCGTAGTCGAAACTGTTCACAATGCAACCGTTCCATGTTTTCTTCAAATTGACTAATTTGATTATTCAGCTGTTCTTTGCTTTCAGCATCTGCTACAACAGTTAGTTGTAATTCCGCCATATGTTTCATTTTAAAATCCTATGGAACATAATCGCACAAATGTTTCATTATCTCAATTAAAGTATTTACTATATTAATCAAATATAAATTTGAAAAAAAAAAAAACTCACTGATTCAATTTCTTTTTCTAGCCTAAATATTTCTTCTTGCAGTAGGTGTAAGGTCCCAGTTTTACCTCGATGTCTGGCGAATGCTGCAGCATCAGCGCAATGAATGCTATTCACCCAGTTTTCAAGTTCAACATGGCATGGAGCCTATAAAATTAATACCATGGTATAATAAGAGTTTCAGGGCATAATAATATGATATTGTACCACTTAAGACCGCGATATGAACTCCATTGCCAGGGCACGATACTTCTGAGTTAGATTATGCACCATAATGGTGTTTTTTATTCCTATGATTTCTTTTTTTGATTATTTTCTCGTAAGTTTTTGACAAGTTTTAAGAGAATTCATTTGCAACAATGATAAAATGTTTCTAAAAAAACATTCTCAAATGTACCTCTACATTATATTACTAAGACTACGTCATTGGGAACATCTTAAAGTTTAGAAACTGCGTTATGACTTAGGAATGTATGAAATGGGACACTTCGTGTTCTGTGTGGTGATCGTAGAGCAATATATTTATTAAATATGAATACAAAAAATATAAACTTATTTAAGAAATGTTTAAATTTTCTAAACACTTTCAAAGTATCAAAAAATAATTCCTTTTTATTCATTTACATTATCCTATATTTGATTCAAACTTTTTATTTCATTGTTTTGTTCATTTTTGCAATTTTCTTTCGGAGGTTACTTTATGTTTTTTGCATTGGTTAAAAAGAGTAGAGAGGAAAGTTTCTTAGAAAAAGTAACTAAGTTATAACGTGGGGAAATTATTTATATCCAGTTGTTTTGAAGAAGGTTTTTGTGTATCTAACTGTAAGAGCGATTTTGTTTTAAACAAATGTTTTGCTATTACACTTGATGGTCTGAAATAAAAAAGATGCATTATGCGTTTTAGTGCTGAAACTGTGACCAACAGCTAAAAATCAGTAAATTATACTTTTATTTTTTTGTGATAAAAATAAAATATTTATCGCGGAGAAAATGAAAGAAAGACAACCTACTTCAACTGTTTTCTATTGAAATTCAATGAATAAACTGCGTTGGATCATTACGGAGTATTCAGCATGAATTTTTAATGATTGGAATAAAAGAGAAATCATAAGAAGAAACTGTGTTTAAAACTTATTTTCCTTTAAAAAATATTGTGAATGAAATATTTTTGTATTATTTACTATTGATGGGTAAATTCAAAGTAATAAATAATCAATAGGAAAAAATACTTATAATTTTATGAGTAACTTAATTCGTTTCAATTTCATTAGAATTGAATTGATTATTACAGCAGCCACATTTCATGTGAATTTTTTATTATTATTTTTATTCTACTGCTCGTAATCATAACGATAGGAGAAAGTCATTGAATCGATTTGCACTAGTCTGAGCTCACTGCGCAAGTCTTGCGCGCAGGATCATACTTAAAATCATCGCAAATGCAGAGCTTTCAATATTATATTGTTTTTAAAAAAATATATTTGAGAATTGCATCGAAATCCTGAAATTAGATATAGTTTTTAACCAAACAATTTCCCGTCAAGCTCAATACGAAAATTTTAATTAACGATATATTTATGTTTTATTACGTTTACTAGTAATTCATTTTATTAGTTAATAATTTTTCTAATTTCTTAATTTTTTTCAACTATGAAATGTAATATTTGCAACAATTACGTTATACAAATAAATACTTTTGCAAGTAGAAGTTAAAAAAATGTTTTTAGTCAAATAATATTAAAGTGAGAAACAATATTGATGCAACGAATTTTAGAATTATTATTATAGTTATCATCTAACTAAAGAAGAATACAATGTAGTCAACAATCAGTACCATGTCGTTGGACTTCAGTAAGCTTTGTAAAAATCTCAAAATGTAATTTGATACGCATCAACATCAAATTTATATTATCATATAATTTTAAAATTCACTTAAAAACTAATTCAAATACAACGGTCAATAAATCGTGCTTGCTTTCAGATGAACTTAAAACAGAAGTTTTTTCCAACTAACCGTTGTTATAATTTTATGGATTTCCTATTGTAAAGTATCATAACTTTGTAATGCATAAAAATAACTATTGAGAAACAAAAAGCTTTAAACTGCTAGAAGCTTGCAAAAATATGTGTATATGAAAAATATGTATTATGCAATATGTATATATGAGCTAAAAACTTCCATAATGTTTACTTCATTTAAGTTTTGAGTTAAAATAAAAATATATGTATGATTTTTAGAAAAATTGCAATTGAAGAGGTAAAGTAAGAAAAAATGAAATGATGTAAAAATAAAAATTTCACATTCATAAGATAAATATTTCATTTATTAGATAATGACATTATTTAAGCAGAACAAATGAAAATTTTATTGTTTTACTATAACGGTTAAAATAATTGAAAATTTTTATTAACTATCATACGTATATGCACCACTAAAAGATTAGAATATTAAGTAGAAATATGTTTGAATTTTTTATAATACAAGTATTTGAATGGTAAAAGTATATGATAATTTGTTTTAAAATCCTTGGATAAAACTAATGCATTTTCGAACTCTCAAATTATTTATTTAATAGAACACTTTAATGCTCAAAATTATAAAATGAGAAAATTTTTTAAATGTTTAATAAGTAAATACAGTTATTTGACAATAAGATTGGACATTTCAGGAAATGACTCAGAAGTTTAAATATCCCTCGATTTAATAAAAAACCACATATGTTTTACACAACGAAGATTACAGTAATATGCAAATTTATATTCTCATGCAAATATAAGTATAAAATATTTTCCATAATTTAAATTTAGATTAATATTTCGTTTAATAATCTTTTAAACAAATATATGATTTGAAAATCTTTTACTCCGTAACTTTGGCAGAACGAAAATCATTTCAATTTTCATGGTTTTCCTAGGCACTAACTTTAACAATTTTATGTTATTTTAAAACCAGCGTTGATTAGCAAATCAGTTGTGATCTAACTATCAATGTTCATCTTAATCACCTGGTAAGTTTAAGCCCAACCAAGAAGACAAGGAAACAGCTGGATCAAGCATTGGGGCAAACTTGCCTTCGTGGAGGTCATTTTGAAGGAACTAAATCGCATTTGCGTTAGACAAAGAGGCTTGACAGCAAAATGACTCTAACCCATGAAATGTCTGATACAGGGGATGTATTCATCAATGCAGCAATGTGATCAATTTCCCCCCGGGAGCAAAATTCCTTATACCAACCAGCCATCACAGAGACTCTATTTTGGATCACCTTATTGGGAGGCAAGAGCCCTAGCCTCTGAGCCCTGACGGGTTGCTTAAATAATTTAAATAAAATTCGAATCGATTACACGGTTGCATTATTTTTGATTTTACAAGTATTCGTTGCTGATTTTTCATATTTTACTGCCAATCCATTTTAATTTACTAAGGCTAAGAAAGGAGGCAATAATTTATTGCTAACATTTGACAATAATTTATAGCTAACTTAACTCATTCTCAGTGAAGTGTTTATTAACATCTGCAAACAGCTTCCTTTATGATTTCACATGATGCGTATGCACTGTTGGGGGTCCATTACTTCTTCTTTGTGCAATTTTTTTTATTATTATAAATTTAAATATTAAACATAATTCATTTTACCAGTATTTAGAACTCTTTATTATTGTTTGCAAAAAATAAAAGTTTGTGCTAATTAATACCTGCTTCATTAAAGTATTTTATCATTTTCATATTATTATATCTTCTTCATATCTGCAACTTATTTTATGCTAAACATCATTGGCAAAATGTGTGAGAGAACGAAATGCAAATTTTGCTATGCACGCTTAGTAAGTTTATTCTACTAGCTCTCACCCCCACACAAGCATACGCTTACCTATTCGACACACAAGATCTACATCTTTGTTTCGAAGCAGTAGTTTCACATTTCGCTCAGTTGTTTTCAGCAAATTCTACAAGATATGCTAAATCTCTTAAGTTTGAACAGTGCACTATTTCCTATCCACAACCGATTCCTTTTCGATAATGCTATTAAATGTTTTGTCTAAAGGGGAGAAAATTGGCAAGTATTGGGGATTGAAAACAACTTTGTTTTGAGAAAACACCATTTAAAGTGTACAAAATTTTGTTTCATTTGTAAGCGAGTAATGGCAAAAAGCTCTGATCTTTTTCATTTATATAAGTTTGAGCTTTAGCATTAAAAACATTCCCACAAGTGAACACTGTCGAATTCTGTTAAAATAGAAATGATTTGTGCTTTGAAAACTCGCTGGCAATTGCTTTTCTAAAAGTAGAGAAATTTTAAAAGAGTACTTAAAAGAGTACAACTCTTACTTAAAAAAATTAGTTTTGTAAAATGTAATAAAATTAGTACTATGTATTTTAAACACCATAAAAGTCCTATTTCTTTGCTGATTCTTGTCAAAACTGATATATAGTTTGGGAAATCGCCATGGAAGTGCTACCTCAAAACATATAGATACTAATGAAATTTATTTCAGAAATAATTCATCTATCTAGGATGCATTTCTTGCTCATTTTTCGCTTAGAAGTTTTGTAAAAAAGTCGAATTGTTGCATTAGATGAAAAAAAAATTCCCATGCTGTTATTGAAAAATCTACAACCACAAGAATGAATTGTTTGGTTGAACTTAAGGTCTGGAGGCGTAAATTGACTTTCCTTAAAGTAATTGACAACAAAGAATGCTTCAAAAACATAACCATTTTTTTTTACACAAATCATATGATTTTTATATGGTCGGCATGTGATTTCAACAATATGGTGCAAAATATCTCGAGACACAAACAGTTTATCGAGAGAAAAGTTCAGTTATTGCATCATATCAAATGCTGATATAAAATGAGTCCAAAATCATGGAATATAATTTTATTAGACTTCTTATCTTTAAAGTTATACTGAATGATTAGTTTACTCTTATGAACCAAAGCTTCATAATTTTAAAACTAAAATTATTCGCGTAATTGATACAATAAGAAGGGATTTACGCAGAAAACTTGTCAAAAATTAAAGTTCAAATCAGAATTTTTTAAAAAACACTCCAGAGATGATAATTTGTATTAAGTAATTTGAAAATAAAATGCTATATATAGTAATATCAATTAAAAAGTAATACACTGATAACATGTATAACTTTTCTTAGATTTCAAATTAAAAATATATAGCTTCTATATGATCACCCTTAATTAGTTTCCAGGTATAGGTTTCAAATTTCTGTATTATTTTGTGCAAAATTATAAAGATAAAATATTCAATAAAATGAGATAATTATATATTTTCCTACTTGAAATAAGTAAGCATCCCCAAATGCTGTGCTTAGGCAGAAGATGTAATCTCGTTTGGGATGCTCTGGGATTGGTTGCATGATTGCTCCATCGACTATGATGAGATGCTTGGGAGCAGAGTCGATTGCTCGACTCTCTCTGTTATCACATGGATAGAAAAGTAACGTGGTTCCTTTTAAGCACACCCAATATCCTTTCCATCCTCGCTTTCTAGCCAGCTCTACCTGCTGTTTCTTGCGCAGAAGCCATTTCTTCACGCTTAAAAATCTAAAACAAAATCAACAAGTGTTCAGTGGCCTTAGAAGTTGAATTAAACTCATGAGACGTGTAAAAACATATTTTTTTTTTTCAAATTTAGGGCAAATATAGCAGGAGACGACGTGGTGGCTCAGGGGCAATGGTTACCAACTGGCTGCCCGCAGGCCGCATCCGGCCGGCGAAACCTTTTTTTGCGGCCCGCGAACTAAAATATATTAGTTGTCAGTTTTTCGCCGACAATTTTCGTGAAAACTCTATGTGGGTTTAAAATACTTTTCTTTCGTTAACAAAACCCAAGTTCTTCACTTCTATAAAATTTAGCATACTAACGGTGCAAAAAAATTTATTTCTCAGGTTTTGAAGATATTTATTCATATATATTTATTAAGATAGATATATATATATATTTGAAGATATTTATTATATATATTTATTATATATATTTATTCATATAAGAAAATATTTATTCAAGAAAATATTTATTATTATTTGTAATTCAATACTTTTGTTTTATACAACTTGATAAAAATCTGTTAGTAATATTTAATGTTCCATCAAACATTAAAAAGTCCTATATAAAATTTTGATAAAGTTGCGGCCCGCCCTTTGACTGGTATTTTTAATTGCTGCCCCCTGCCTCATGCAAGTTGGAAACCCCTGGGATAGAGCATTCGCTTCCCAATTAGGTCAACCGGGTTCGAATCCCAGCCATGGTTAGCTGATACAAATTCCGTACCCGTCTCGTAACCCAGTAGTAGACGGATCATGGGTTAAAGTCCCCTTGACGTCAGACTGGACGAGGGAGGTTTTCGTGGTTCTCCTCTCCGTGTAATGCGAATGCGGGTTAGTTCCATCAAGAAAGTCCTCCACGAAGGCACATATCACCGAATACTTGATCCAAGAGTTCCCTTGTCTTTTGGATTAGGCTCAAAATTTCAAAATTATCAGGCTACGGAGGTGAGCATTGGTAGCCATAAGCTCAATGGCATCAGGTNCAAGCAAGGTTTTTTTATGTCATTAACATTTATTATAGTTAAAATAAATATAAACAAAAACGTATCTGAATTTATAAAATCGTGTAATTATACTCGGTGATTACTATGTACTTTTAAAATTATTAAAATCAAAATGAAACAGGAATGGCTGACTATATTATGAGAAACAGTGCTTAAAAGTTTATAATTTCCCTACTCTCCTAGTTTCTTTTAACCCATTTTCGCTACTGTCCTCTATTTTCGTTACTGTAATATGGCTGACGACCGACTCTAAAAACGCCTAAAACAGTGCATATGATGTTGCGCAATCTCAAGCAACAAGTCTGAGTTTCTCTACATTTTCTTGAAGATTTATTTCGATCTTTGGGTATGCCAAAGTTAATCAGTTTTATTCATGTGGCATGACAGGTCAACAGTAATTCGTTTATTGATTATAACGTCATAATGTTTGCCTGCTATTCAGCCAGAACTCATAACTTTTTAAATAAAATGCTGTAAGCAGGAATTAATAATTAGGTTATTAAAAAATACAATAGATAAGTAATGTTGGTGTGATTTTAAACACAAAAAAATCGCATCGGTGATATAATAGTTAAACATAAGCCTTCACGGTAGATGAAATGAAAATTAAAAGTGGTTTATCATAGGCTTATAAAATTCTTAGTATGAAATTATTTTTCCCACACACAGAGTATTCAGGGCATTTTTTGGCTTAATATAATAACATTCTGTTGTATATAACAATAATAAACTATTTCTCAAGGAATTAAGGTGTCTAAAGAATTCCAAAGAGTATCATTTCCAAAAATTATAATTTAAATAATTTTAATTGTTCTTTTCCTTGATCAGCACTACAAGCCAAGAATTTTTCAATTTCCAATTAGAGCGGTTCGATGCAAGATTTAGCCATCTTCTCACTACCAGGGTTCTGAGATAGAGCGGTTCGATACAAGATTTAGCCATCTTCTCACTACCAGGGTTCTGAGATCTTTCTCTACTCAATACAATATTATAAACTTGAGTTTGAATTTTAATTCTTATTAATTTATCCAAATTTAACAAAATAAATTCTGAGTAATTAATACATTTATTGTGGCACTAATTCTTTCAATAGAATAAAGGATCATTAAACTTCATTGAAAACTTGACGAGAAACATTTAACTGAGATGATGTCCAAATAAAAGAAATCGTCCGTCAGAAGGTGCTGATGCACGATTTTCAACACTTCAATAACTTCAAATAAAATCGAGAGTGTTAAGTGATTTATTATCAACCCTTTCTAATGCTTTGCTTACTGCTTAGTATACTTATCACCAATTTCATCCTTTTGTAATGTTCTCCTTTTGACAACCTTTCATCCGTTCAGTGGGTTGATAAAATGAGTACCAAGCATGCTTGGGAGCTAAAGACTGGGGGTGGCTGACCACCCAACCGGAACATCTGCTCGTGCACCTCAGAGTCCAAAGGTCAAGAAAACTGAGATGAGTACATTAGGCCTTGGCCCTCTATGGTTGGCCCTCCACTGAGCTTAGTTTAGTAATGTTCTTATTAAACTATTTTTGTGCTATAAAGTTTTCTGTCATGTGTTAATAATTTCAATCCTGATAAAATACGTTTGAATATATTAATAATCATATGCCATTTTTAGAGAATATGTATATACAGGTTTTGACGATTTTCTTCGACTAAAACATATAAAAAACAATAAAAAAATTATGATCACAGCTTGTGATATCTTGTTATATATTTCTACATGCTTTAAAAATTTTCATTAAAAATAATTTTGTAATTTCAGTCATAGAGAAGAAATAAGTTATGTACGATTCCCTTGCAGTTTTTTATGCTTATAGAATTATGTAAATGAAAAGAAACGAAAACCATTTAGTACTTATCACCAAAATAGTGTTAGAATTCAAATTAATTTGAACTACTTTCATAAATTAATATTTTTGCTTAACCCTTTGCAGCAGAATTTTTATTAAACATATTTTTCTATACTTTTTCATGTATTAATTTAGGTCAAAATAAGGGTAAAATATGATGCATTTTAATAAATTATGGTTTTGAAAAACAACATGAAAAACCGATGTCATTCTCTGCGATAAAGATAAAATATTCTTAACACGGCTCATCTCCAAGCAATAATTTTTCAAATTCGTCTTCATTTAGATCTAAGAGAAACAGTTATTCATCATTTAAATTTCTTCAATTTACAAAATTAATGATTGATAAATTTTTGAATATGAATGAAAAAAAGGTTTTTCTCAAACTACTTTTTTTGGATTTCATATTTTAATAACAACTATAATTCCAATCATCTAACAGATTTTTTAATAACTATCAAACTGATTTTTATAATTAAAAAATATCAGAACATATTTTTACTTGTATTCAGAGCGTCAGAAAAATATATGAAAAGGACACCGGTGTTGCCTCTGCGTAAAAAGGTTAAACAGATTTCAATCACAGAAATATTTCAACGCACCATTACTAAAAATAAATGGTACATTTAAGGTTTAAACAGTTATATTCATTATTCGGGTTATTTATTTTCAATGCTTACCCAGCTTTACGAACGGCTCCTGTGCAATTGAAAGAAGCGGCAGCTGATCCAGAACGAGCTCGATAGGGAGAATTTCTCGCTTCTCCATCTTCTTCTTCACTCAGAGCCGTCGTCAACGACAGTCGATCGTCGTCTGATATCTAAAAGAGACATTAAAAAGAAACTTTATAAATAACTCTGTTTGCTAAGTGACATGTTTCCCCCCCCCATACAATTCCAGTTTAAAACTAATGATAACAAAATATATTTCCCATATAAAAAAATAGCAAATCATGCAATTTTGCTCTATTTTGGCTCTAATATTAAAAGAAAATATGAAATATTACTTCAGGGAAGGGATTTTGACTTTTAAGAAATTGTGAGACTTCATTTAAGTGAAATTTATTATTTTGGAGAAATTTTATTGAGGTGTTATATTAGAAACACTGTAAAACAAAGAAGATTTTTAAATTTGCAATCCTTTAACTGTACAACCTGTACTAGAAATGTAATGCAAATTAGTGTGAAAATAGTATTAGTAAATGCGTAAGGAAACTCTAGTTTTTTTTCTGCTTAATTTTAAATTTATTTATATAATTTTAAAGTATTTTATTTTTTAACGGAACTTAGCAAAAAACTTATGTTTTCGGGGTTAATTTATCCTAAGCCCACGTTGTGGTAAACTAGCTCCTCAGACAGCTATAATTTTTGTTTGTTACTTACGAATGTGACATAATATTAAAATCAACAGTATCTTTATTTCTGAAACTTTTTTTTATGATTGTATATTTTCCTATAGCAGTACCTTATAATTATTTATTGTTTCTTTTTTTTAGTTCAATTTGCAATTAAATTATATCAAGTAATTAAAATCATTTTTTTCAATAATTTTAATTATATTTCAATTATTTTTTTGAAAGTAATCCTATATGAGAGTGTAAATTGCGCGAGACGTATTAAGTACAATGTAATTTCCATGAATGAAAAAAAAAATGATTGGGTCCAAAGAGCCTCAAATTCTTTTAACGAACATTTCAAAATGTTATATATTTTATTAGCCATTAAAGATTAAAATAAATGATAATGAAATATCTTATTTATTAAAATTAATTAAAAACCTATTAAAATATTTTCTATTTTTATGGTAAAAATGTTATATAATTGTGAAATCCATCTAAATTTAATATCACATGGTATTTATATGATGAGATAGATACAAGATACATTAATAAAGATAGATACATTGATACAGGATACATTGCAGAATAAGATAGAGGGACAGGATAAGATACAGGGCACATTGATGAAGAGACAGGATACATTGATGCAGGATACATGATAAAGATACATTGACAAAATAATGGAAACACGTTTACACTAATACCTTTTTTTCACATTTCTCAAGAAATACTTAAGAATCATTTTAAAATTTCAGAAAAATTCAGATTATGTGATTTCTCACACGTATCAGTGGGGTTTAAAGTTTTTAGAGGTATGAGGGACCGATAGTAAATTACGAACGGAAAATAGTGCTTTGGAACATAAAAATGTTGCAATAAATTTGTAAATTGTAGCTATTATTTTGGTAATTGCATGCAATAAGTGCGCAAAATTTCGTAAGCCTGACTTAAATATCTATACCTTTACGGTAATAGCCTTTACGGTACCTTTACGGTAAATACGGTATATAGACATTTTTATAAAAAAAATCATCTATTTGTCTTACGTTTTTTTTTTTTTTTTTTTTTTTTTTTTTTTTTTTTTTTTTTTTTTTTTTTTTTTTTTTTNAATTAAACAAAATTTTTAGAGTAATTTAAAAGTAGTCATTGCTTTAAAATGTGAAAATCAGTGCTTTAAAATGTGAAAAAAAAATTAAAAATTGCGTAAGATATGAGTAGTTAAATTAGCTCTTTCATACTGCGCATGCGTGGTAAAAATCGAAAAAAAATTTTCTTACTAATTTTGTAAAGAATCGTATTTGGCAAATAATAAGCGAAATCCGATTTGAATATCTTAAAAATTTAAAAAATTTTAAATAATTTTTTGAATGTATTTTGCATTTTTTTAAAAAGAAATTTAAATGATAAGGGGTTTTCTACAAATATTATTTTCTATCATAAAACAAACTAAATAACAAATGATAATACCTTACAATGAACGATACAATGAACCAAACTATTATTGTTTGAACTTACAATGAACCAAAATATTATTGTTTAAGGAAAAAAAGAAACAGGCAAAAGAAAAGATACTTTTATGGGGATGATCCCCAACAATGCCCGTGTCATTTTTAATAAATCTTATTTAATAGTGCAAAATGAAATTTGGGGAAAACCCGTTATCATTTTGAGTTTCTTCTAAAAAATAAAAAAAACTACTTAGAAAATTGCCTGAATCTTTTTAAAATTTTACGATATTCAAATCAGACTTCCTTTAATAGTTGCCAAAGACGATTCATTTTAAAATTAAGAAGAAAAAAAATTTCAATCTTTTCCCACGCATGTGCAGTATAAAGGAACTGCCTTAATTACTCATATCTTGCGCAATTTTAATCGAAATGCTTTCAAAGCTTAAAACAATAATTTTGAAATCAAATTTAAATTGCTCTAAAATTTTTTTAAAAATTTTATTAAATATTTTAAATTTGTAGCAAAAAGGAACGAAGACAAAAAAGTTAATTTTTTATAAAAATGTCCATATTTCCATACATGTTTAAGCTAAGCTTACAAAATTTTGTGTAATTATTACATAGTATACCCAAAATAATTGCTACAAGTTACAAATTTTTATTGCTACAAACACTATTTTCAAAAACACTATTTTCCGTTGGCAATTTATTGTCGTTCCCTCAATTCTCTAAAACCTTCAAACTTCATTGGTAAGTATGAGAAATTGCATGATATACGAGTAAATACTTCTGCAATTATTAAATTATTCTTTAAGTATTTCTTAAGAAGTATGAAAAAATGTATTAGTATAAAAGTGTTTCCATTATTTTGTCCACCCCCTTTATCTAACAAGCATGCCAACTCTATCAACTCTTTGAGTTTCCTTTAACATGACTTAAAATGCGCACCATATTTATAGCTTCCGTGTAAACTTTAATTTTAAACAATATTTTCTTAGAACGTAGAATCTTTGCACTATGAATAGTTTTTGCTTGCTTCTTTTTCTCTCATTAGAAAAAACGTGCCTAAATATTTACTTGAGTTTTCAACCTTGAGGAAAAAATCTTTCCTATCTACTGTTTACTCATTTTCGTTAAATATGCACGACGAAAAATTTTTAGGTTGTAGGTTACGTTGTAGCAAACAATAGCTATCAGGTTGTTATTTTAGATTAACAAGCAATTAAAAACTTAAAAATTAAATACTTTATTTAAAGCTATTCCCACCCCCATATTGAAACAAAAATTTTATTGTTGATACAACAATTTACAACACAGATATAAGTGAAATAAATTTAATAATCTAGTCTCTCTATTCAAGTTCCCCCAATATATATTCTATTCGCTATGGTCTTGATGAAATGAGAAAATTTTAAAGAATGAAACCGGAAATACAACCCTCTTAGTATGCGCATGCTAATCTAAAAATAAAAAAAAGGACAATCTTAACATCAAAAACTATTTCTTTCATTTAAATATATTTACTTAAATATATACACTGGTTATCATAAATTAAGGAAAAATCACAAAAATAGCGATAACTCTTTCAAAAGTAAGCCAAACCGTGCAAAATTTGCATATGTTGTCCACTAAGAGTAGCTGAGTAAAATTGCAATATGCAAATTAGTGGCGCTGCACTCGGCTTACGTCATCTGCCTGGAGCATAAAAGTCCAAGTTTGAGAGAAAGCACACAAATTTTACTGTGATTGCGACATTGAAAATCTGAGATAGCCAATTCGTAATAATGACCTCTAGGCATCATTTGCCTGAAGAACTACGATGGAGAGC